CTCACTGCACACGCATGAATGTAAATGAAAATTACACGTGTTCATCAGCAGAACAATAGGCCCCTTGGAATGAACAATTCATATTAAAAATAGTTCCTTTCAGAGTAGAAAGCGCTTTTTGTCTAGTTTTTAGAAGTACAGCAGGAAAACTCGATTTATTTATGCTTGCTTTCTTTTAACAATGGTTTCTTTGTTCCCCTCTTCCTTTTCCTTCTCTGTGCTAGTTAGCAGCAATGTCTGATGATGGTAGGCTAGGGAGAGAAAAAAGAGACAGAATAATTGTCAGGCGGAAGAAATAATTATGCACCCTTCAGAAAATATAATTCAAGCAACATTTTTTAAACAAACAAGCCAAGGAAATGTGTTTCAGCCAGACATTCAGAACTTTCCCTTAAATACACATTTACATTCCCCAATCATTCTGAGTTGCTGTTTCCCATTACTGCTCTCATTTCTCCCTCCCAGCAGTGCCCACAAAGCCAGGGGGATCATCAGTATGTTAACTCATCCCGGTCAGGCAGGTGCCTTCCAAAAGTATGATTATTGCTGCTTTATAGATGTTGCATGGTCGGGGATGACAAGAATAGTCGAATAACTCCTAACTTTACATTTAACATCTTTGTAAAACTGTGATGCTTTAGGATTCAACCTAGACCAGTTAGGGGTTGTGTCACTGTCTACCTGTAACCCCAGGTGATCTGTGCTGTGTAGCCTTGGTTCAGAGCCCTGACAGTAGTATCATGCTCAGACCACAACAGCCTCCCACTGGCTTCCATCAGCCTTGGTTACTCCTTGCAGGGTGACCCTAACACCCGCCACGTCCTGAATTGCCCCCAAACTGTCTGCGGTGTAGTATCCAGCCCCCTGGCTGAACTCTTGCAGAAGTTAAGTTTGCTGCTCCTTTAAAGAAACAGTACCCAGCAGCTTATTACCCTAACTGGGGTTAGCAAACCCTCTATTTTAATCAAAGCATTGAATTGGTTTATAATAAAAATAAAACAAGTTTATTAAACAAAAAGCCATAGGTCTAAGAGATACCATGTATAAGGACTAAAGATGGAAAGGGTTACAAGGAAACAAAAGTAAAAATAGGTTTCTAAGACTAAAACCTGATTTAACAAACTAGAGCCTTTTGTTGAAAAGAAGCGTTTCTCACCTAGTCTCTTTTCTAGCATGGATGACCAGACTCATCCATCATAGAACTCAGAGCGCTCAGTTTCTCTGTCTCTTTATGTGAAGGATGCCAAAATGGCTTTTTCTCTCTCCTTATATCTTCCCAAAGTTCATTAACTCCACTTCAAGAGGCAGGAAGGCTTCCTTGAGTGAAGTCTCCCTCCTCTGTTGAGATTGTTAAGTGGCCATCCTCCCCCACTTGCTTGCCTGATGGCTCTCTGTACCTTGCTTTCTTTGTCTTTGGTCTCACCTTCCTTAATTTACGTTGGAGACTCAGTCAAGCAGGCGGAATCACATTCTTTGTGGCTTAGGCACAGCTTGCCAAATACATTTTCTGAACTCATTTCCAGCACATATCTATATTGTCCTTTGTGGGTTTGTTGTACGTACAGCATGCAAGAATATTCATGATCAGTGAGTTATTAGGTTTCTAGTGATATCACGTCACCTTTTGGGTATCTATCATAACGACAGCGTACCAGATGGCATTGGGGTGCTCTTCAGGCCACAATAACATATAGCCATAACCCGCTAATCTCCATCAACTTCTGTCTTAATGTTGCTCTTCGCCTGCCTCCTGCTCCTCCATGAAAACACATTGTGCACCTATCACCTGTAATTAAACTCTGTTTTCCACCACTTTATGCCTTGTGATACATAGGAGTGTGAGTGTAAAACACTTGCGACCTGTCTACACCAGTCCTTATGCCACTGCTACAGCTGCCATTTGCAAGTGGATGCACTAGGGATGCTAATTTTTCTTGTGTAAGACAAGGCCTGTCTGCGTTCACTAGAAGAGGGGTCCGATTTATACTGTATACTGGGCATACACTTGTTCACGCTGATCTTTTGGGTGGTGGTCTTTTATACCTAATACATAGCACAGGTTTTCTTTTAGCTAGGAAAAAAGGGGGTGTTTTATAAGTTACAAGGAAAGAAGGCTAACTGAGACTAGCCCAAAAGTAGTCTGCATGGCTTGTTGCAATCCTTTGAACTCCATAGGTTCATCTGTCCTTTTGGGGCATATGTATGCATTGCACACGTTCCATTTGTTTGTTCAACTGGTAAATTTCAGATTAACTTTTTATTCATTTTCAACACATAGCATGTGTCCCTTTCTGTATGTGGTCTGTGAGGAAAATCTAATAATGTCAGAATCACTTGTATTCAAAAATTATCTACCTTCCCTCCAGCAAGCTATTTATCCCAGGAGCTTTATTTTTAAACATTCAAACAGATAAGTTGCCTGTTTCTAAGCATTACTTTCAGACTTTAGATGTGTCTAGGATATTGGCTGAGCAAGAGCTGTGGGAGAGAGTTGAAACTACTGGACAGGCAGAATGGGGCAGGGAGTGTGTCTGTGGGTATGTCTACACTACAGAATAAGGTCGAATTTATAGAAGTCGGTTTTTTAGAAATCGGTTTTATATATTCGAGTGTGTGTGTCCCCACAGAAAATGCTCTAAGTGCATTAAGTGCATTAACTCGGCGGAGCGCTTCCACAGTACCGAGGCTAGAGTCGACTTCCGGAGCGTTGCACTGTGGGTAGCTATCCCACAGTTCCCGCAGTCTCCGCTGCCCATTGGAATTCTGGGTTGAGATCCCAATGCCTGATGGGGCTAAAACATTGTCGCGGGTGGTTCTGGGTACATATCGTCAGGCCCCCATTCCCTCCCTCCCTCCCTCCGTGAAAGCAAGGGCAGACAATCATTTCGCGCCTTTTTTCCTGAGTTACCTGTGCAGACGCCATACCACGGCAAGCATGGAGCCCGCTCAGGTAACCGTCACCCTATGTCTCCTGGGTGCTGGCAGACGCGGTACGGCTTTGCTGCACAGTAGCAGCAACCCATTGCCTTCTGGCAGCAGACGGTGCAATACGATTGGTAGTCGTCCTCGTCGTGTCCGAGGTGCTCCTGGCCACGTCGGCTGGGAGCGCCTGGGCAGACATGGGCGCAGGGACTAAATTTGGAGTGACTTGACCAGGTCATTCTCTTTAGTCCTGCAGTCAGTCCTATTGAACCGTCTTATGGTGAGCGGGCAGGTGATACGGACTGCTAGCAGTCGTACTGTACCATCTTCTGCCAGGCAGGCAAGAGATGAGGATTGCTAGCAGTCGTATTGTACCATCTTCTGCCAGGCAGGCAAGAGATGGGGATGGCTAGCAGTCGTACTGTACCATCTTCTGCCGAGCAGCCATGAGATGTGGATGGCATGCAGTCCTTCTGCACCGTCTGCTGCCAGCCAAAGATGTAAAAGATAGATGGAGTGGGTCAAAACAAGAAATAGACCAGATTTGTTTTGTACTCATTTGCCTCCTCCCCTGTCTAGGGGACTCATTCCTCTAGGTCACACTGCAGTCACTCACAGAGAAGGTGCAGCGAGGTAAATCTAGGCATGTATCAGTCAGAGGCCAGGCTAACCTCCTTGTTCCAATAAGAACAATAACTTAGGTGCACCATTTCTTATTGGAACCCTCCGTGAAGTCCTGCCTGAAATACTCCTTGATGTACAGGCACCCCCTTTGTTGATTTTAGCTCCCTGAAGCCAACCCTGTAAGCCGTGTCGTCAGTCGCCCCTCCCTCCGTCAGAGCAACGGCAGACAATCGTTCCGCGCCTTTTTTCTGTGCGGACGCCATACCAAGGCAAGCATGGAGGCCGCTCAGCTCACTTTGGCAATTAGGAGCACATTAAACACCACACGCATTATCCAGCAGTATATGCAGCACCAGAACCTGGCAAAGCAATACCGGGCGAGGAGGCGACGTCAGCACGGTCACGTGAGTGATCAGGACATGGACACAGATTTCTCTGAAAGCATGGGCCCTGCCAATGCATGCATCATGGTACTAATGGGGCAGGTTCATGCTGTGGAACGCCGATTCTGGGCTCGGGAAACAAGCACAGACTGGTGGGACCGCATAGTGTTGCAGGTCTGGGACGATTCCCAGTGGCTGCGAAACTTTCGCATGCGTGGGGGCACTTTCATGGAACTTTGTGACTTGCTTTCCCCTGCCCTGAGGCGCATGAATACCAAGATGAGAGCAGCCCTCACAGTTGAGAAGCGAGTGGCGATAGCCCTGTGGAAGCTTGCAACGCCAGACAGCTACCGGTCAGTTGGGAATCAATTTGGAGTGGGCAAATCTACTGTGGGGGCTGCTGTGATGCAAGTAGCCCACGCAATCAAAGATCTGCTGATATCAAGGGTAGTGACCCTGGGAAATGTGCAGGTCATAGTGGATGGCTTTGCTGCAATGGGATTCCCTAACTGTGGTGGGGCTATAGACGGAACCCATATCCCTATCTTGGCACCGGAGCACCAAGCCGCCGAGTACATAAACCGCAAGGGGTACTTTTCGATAGTGCTGCAAGCTCTGGTGGATCACAAGGGACGTTTCACCAACATTAACGTGGGATGGCCGGGAAAGGTGCATGATGCTCGTGTCTTCAGGAACTCTGGTCTGTTTCAATAGCTGCAGGAAGGGACTTTATTCCCACACCAGAAAATAACTGTTGGGGATGTTGAAATGCCTATATGTATCCTTGGGGACCCAGCCTACCCCTTAATGCCATGGCTCATGAAGCCGTACACAGGCAGCCTGGACAGTAGTCAGGAGCTGTTCAACTACAGGCTGAGCAAGTGCAGAATGGTGGTAGAATGTGCATTTGGACGTTTAAAGGCGCGCTGGCGCAGTTTACTGACTCGCTTAGACCTCAGCGAAACCAATATTCCCACTGTTATTACTGCTTGCTGTGTGCTCCACAATATCTGTGAGAGTAAGGGGGAGACGTTTATGGCGGGGTGGGAGGTTGAGGCAAATCACCTGGCTGCTGGTTACGCGCAGCCAGACACCAGAGCGGTTAGAAGAGCACAGGAGGGCGCGGTACGCATCAGAGAAGCTTTGAAAACCAGTTTCATGACTGGCCAGGCTACGGTGTGAAAGTTCTGTTTGTTTCTCCTTGATGAAACCCCCTGCCCCTTGGTTCACTCTACTTCCCTGTAAGCTAACCACCCGCCCCTCCTCCCTTCAATCACCGCTTGCAGAGGCAATAAAGTCATTGTTGCTTCACATTCATGCATTCTTTATTCATTCATCACACAAATAGGGGGATGACTACCAAGGTAGCCCAGGAGGGGTGGTGGAGGAGGGAAGGAAAATGCCACACAGCACTTTAAGCACAGCACTTTAAAAGTTTACAACTTTAAAATTTATTGAATGACAGCCTTCTTTTTTTGGGGCAATCCTCTGTGGTGGAGTGGCTGGTTGGCCGAAGGCCCCCCCACCACGTTCTTGGGCGTCTGGGTGTGGAGGCTATGGAACTTGGGGAGGAGGGTGGTTGGTTACAGAGGGGCTGCAGTGGCAGTCTGTGCTCCAGCTGCCTTTGCTGCAGCTCAACCATACACTGGAGCATACTGGTTTGGTCCTGCAGCAGCCTCAGCATTGAATCCTGCCTCCTCTCATCACGCTGCCGCCACATTTGAGCTTCAGCCCTGTCTTCAGCCCACCACTTACTCTCTTCAGCCCGCCACTTACTCTCTTCAGCCCGCCACCTCTCCTCCCGGTCATTTTGTGCTTTCCTGCACTCTGACATTATTTGCCTCCACGCATTCGTCTGTGCTCTGTCAGTGTGGGAGGACAGCATGAGCTCAGAGAACATTTCATCGTGAGTGCGTTTTTTTTTCTTTCTAAGCTTCACTAGCCTCTGGGAAGGAGAAGATCCTGTGATCATTGAAACACATGCAGCTGGTGGAGAAAAGAAAAAGGACAGCGGTATTTAAAAAGACACATTTTATAAAACAGTGGCTACACTCTTTCAGGGTAAACCTTGCTGTTAACATTACATACATAGCACATGTGCTTTCGTTACAAGGTCGCATTTTGCCTCCTCCCACCGCGTGACTACCCCCTCAACCTTCCCCCCTCCCTGTGGCTAACAGCGGGGAACATTTCTGTTTAGCCACAGGCAAACAGCCCAGCAGGAATGGGCTCCTCTGAGTGTCCCCTGAAGAAAAGCACTCTATTTCAACCAGGTGACCATGAATTATATCTCATTCTCCTGAGGATAACACAGAGAGATAAAGAACGGATGTTGTTTGAATGCCAGCAAACATACACTGCAATGCTTTGTTCTACAATGATTCCCGAGTACGTGTTACTGGCCTGGAGTGGTAAAGTGTCCTACCATGAAGGACGCAATAAGGCTGCCCTCCCCAGAAACCTTTTGCAAAGGCTTTAGGACTACATCTAGGAGAACCGCAAATGCCAGGGCAAAGTAATCCTTTCACATGCTTGCTTTTAAACCATGTATAGTATTTTAAAAGGTACACTCACCAGAGGGCCCTTCTCCGCCTGCTGGGTCCAGGAGGCAGCCTTGGGTGGGTTCGGGGGGTACTGGCTCCAGGTCTAGGGTGAGAAACAGTTCCTGGCTGTCGGGAAAACCGGTTTCTCCGCTTGCTTGCTGTGAGCTATCTACAACCTCCTCCTCCTCATCATCTTCTTCGTCCCCAAAACCTGCTTCCGTATTGCCTCCATCTCCATTGAAGGAGTCAAACAACGCGGCTGGGGTAGTGGTGGCTGAACCCCCTAAAATGGCATGCAGCTCATCATAGAAGCGGCATGTTTGGGGCTCTGACCCAGAGCGGCTGTTCGCCTCTCTGGTTTTCTGGTAGGCTTGCCTCAGCTCCTTCAGTTTCACGCGGCACTGCTTCGGGTCCCTGTTATGGCCTCTGTCCTTCATGCCCTGGGAGATTTTCACAAAGGTTTTGGCATTTCGAAAACTGGAACGGAGTTCTGATAGCACGGATTCCTCTCCCCAAACAGCGATCAGATCCCGTACCTCCCGTTCGGTCCATGCTGGAGCTCTTTTGCGATTCTGGGACTCCATCATGGTCACCTGTGCTGATGAGCTCTGCATGGTCACCTGCAGCTTGCCATGCTGGCCAAACAGGAAATGAGATTCAAAAGTTCGCAGTTCTTTTCCTGTCTACCTGGCCAGTGCATCTGAGTTGAGAGTGCTGTCCAGAGCGGTCACAATGGAGCACTCTGGGATAGCTCCCGGAGGCCAATACCATCGAATTGTGTCCACAGTACCCCAAATTCGAGCCGGCAATGTCGATTTAAGCGCTAATCCACTTGTCAGGGGTGGAGTAAGGAAATCGATTTTAAGAGCCCTTTAAGTCGAAATAAAGGGCTTCATTGTGTGGACGGGTGCAGGTTTACATCGATTTAATGCTGCTAAATTCGACCTAAAGTCCTAGTGTAGACCAGGGCTGTGTATTGAATGCTTTGTACAAGAAATCCACAAAAGGGCAGGGAGAATCATCTTAAGTAGATGGATGGGCTAGGATGAAGGCATCTGTAGCAATGGAATACATTACAGAAGGCATCAGAGAAAAATGGACAAACATTGACTTGTTAAATAATGTTTCAGTAATGAAGTTTCTAAGGTGGCTTTATGCAAATAAAAAGAGCATTGTATTGCAAAGAAAAGATAGGAAGAAGAATAGGCACATGGAGGGGATCAGACATGCTATAGTTTTCAAATATGTAATTCACTGATGATTCAAAGGGACAATAGGCATAAATAAAGAATGATGGTGATGCAAAAATCAATTTGGGTAAATATTGAAGGATAGAGACTGTTTAGAAGAGATCAGAGAGGAAAGAAGGTAACTGCCATTTTATACAGCAGGCAAAGGCATATTTACAGGCAATTGAGATAAGAGACTTTAGAGGAATTGCAGGCTGTGTTGAATCCTGCTGCCTCAAATTAAAGGCAGATGCCTACTCTCAGATCCTTGTGGTGGATCTCTCTTGTGAATTTTGAAACTGAACCCACTGTGGAGCTTCCTTTGACATCAGTGGGAGTTTTGTGTGGCAATTAGGCCTATCTCTCATTTGCTACTGCAAAACTCTGTTTTTATGCCTCTGTAATTCCACTAAAGTCAATGGAATTACACCAATGTAAAACTGAAGTAGTGCAGTGTTGAATCTAGGCTCTTAATAAGCCATAAAGTTCTATAGCCTCACTAAGGGCTTGTCCTCACTGCCCCACCTTTTGGACTATGTGGGGAGTGAATAGCAGTATGCACAAAGTGCTGCAGTGTAACTCCCCTGTGTGGATGCTGTTGGTGTGAACTGAAAGGTTCCTAGTGCTTACTAACGTAGTCCTCTTCAAACAGGTCTACCTTCATGCAAGCTAGGAACCTTTTGTTCGTGCCAACAGGGTCCACCTGGGCGAGTTACAGCACGGCGCTTTGGTGCACACTAATATTCACATCCCTGTAGTCGGACAGCAGGGCAGTGCAGACGTGCCCTAAGATCTGAAGTGTGGATCTAAGCATAGGATTTTGGCCCTAAATCAAGAAACTGATCTGAATAACTTAACTTGTTGTTCAGCTTATTTCATCTATGTAACTCAAATGCCATTACCATGAACTGGTTCTTTTTAGCACACATTTTTATTTCAATGAACTTTCTGTGATACTGATCTGACTCCACAGTATCTCATAACACCCCTAGTGTGGTAGGGCAGTGTTATCATCCCCATTTTACAGGTAGGGAACTGATGCACAGACTTGCCCATGGTTACACAAAGAGCATGTGATACAGTAGAGACTGGAACCCACATCTTTGAAGTCTCAGGCTAGCACCATAGCCACTGGGAAATCCTTCCTCTCCTTTAACTCTGCTTCATTTTGGTCCTTCCCATCAGTTAACCTTCAGTTAACTTCTACTTTCATCTGACATCTCCAGGAAAGGACTTTATGATTTGTATTTTGTGGAAGGAAAGAAGCTGCATGCTATCCTTGACTTCAGCGGGAGTTGGCACAGGTTCAAATTGATGCCCAGAGGTGTTCTGCATTTGGAGCAAGGGAACACTGTGGTCCAGGTCTGGAGACGAAGAGGTGAGTAGTCCCGGTTTTGCTAAGCCCTGAGTTAAGAGGAACACAATTCCCAAATGTTGAGAAATAAAGATGTTGAATTCCTAGTGCCACAGTTTAGAAGAATGAAACAAGTGTTGGGTGAATTTGAATGACATAAAGCAGGGGGAGAAAAGACATGAGGTGGGCTGGGAGGAGATGGGAAGTGTTGACAGATAAATCACTGTCTATCCAAGGGTTATATATGCCACCTAGCAATAAATACCCTACTAGTTAAAGTAGGGCAGTGTGGATGAGCATGGAAAAGCAGAAAGTAATCAAGGACAAGACAGAGACATATGCAAGGTATAAAATGTCAGGCACTGTGAAGGACTGGGGAGATTACAGAATGGAGTTAAAGGAATGTAAAAAAAAAAGCAAAAGTAAAGAATGAAGGAAATATTGTGCAAGAGGTTAAGGTAAATGATAAGAAATTCTTCAGATATGCAAGGGACAAGAGATCAGTGGAGGAGACAGTAAGAGTTCTAAAGAGATGCAAGGATAATTTATTGACAGAAGGGTTGGACATTGCTAAAAGAAAATGTAATTAATTATTTGCTTTAGTGCTCACAAAGGAGGGTAACAGAAGAAAGGCTAGGAGACAGAAGACATAAATTTAGGAAGAAAAATATTGAAGGAAACCAGGGGAAAGTGTGATCAGAATAGAGAACATTTAAATAACGACAAAACTGCAGGCCCCATGAGGTCCGAGAGGAGAGCCCAGTATTCTGAGGAAAGTAACAGGAAAAGGAGGGAGTGAGGAATGGAAGGGGAGTGGGGAGACAGAGTGACTCCTTTAGCTGAACTATTAAAAACCTTCTTGGGCAATGGGAGAGGTACATGCCAGAAAGAAGCTCGAGAGGGATCTGAGAAAGATTAAGGAAGTCACAGAATTGTACATAAACAAGAACATAAAACAAGCCACTGTACTAGAAAACCAATGGGAAAAAACTCTTAGAGAGTGGGAATACTTAGATAAGTACAACGGATTAAAAATAGTTTAGATGAACCCACGTTTTGGTGAAGCTAGCCCATCAAATTTGGTATAACTTTTGCAGACAAGGTAAAATGTTGCCAGCAGGAAGTTTCAGACTTAATGTAACTGGCGTTCAGGTGAGTTTTTGATTCAATACTACGTACAAGGGTACAGTGTTATCTACACTATTGAGGCCTTGCCATGACTAGGAAAGGTGATCATTCTTAGTTTGCATGCACCAATAAACCCAATTTAAACTCAGCCTTTTTCCTGAGTGCCAAAGCAGGATGACACCTTTAGGTTCCTGCTTAGACTATAACCTGACCAGCTGAAATGGAGCTAAATGTGTTACTCTGAATCAACATTAGGGCATTGGTCAAGTTTACTTTGGGTTTAATAGCATGAGCTAGCTAAATCTGAACGAAACTCAACCACTTTTGCTAGACAAGACAAGACCTAGATGTGAATGAGACATTTGAGACCATAAAGAATTGGCATAAAAACGTAGGAAACCTAGTACATGAGTGAAAGATGTTAGAGCATGAATAGCTGGGCTCATTTACTCTTCATCTATTGCAGGAGGCAGCTGTATTTATTTATTTATTTATTTTTCTTAAACTTTGCTTTTCTCAAGGTGCATTTTAGTGGTTGTGAAAGGTATTGGACTGATAGTGATGGAAATTGAAGCCATCTGCTTGGGCAAGGAATAGGTTCAGCATTGCCAAGGTAGTACAGGCTATCTCACTCTCCTCCAATAACATTCTTCAACCCTGTTCTGAAGGGACCACTTTAGGGGCTAGATGGTATTTCAGTCTTTGGCTTCTTGACTGGGTGTGCCAATAAGGTACCAGCTGCTGCGGTGGGTTTTGTGATGCAAATGGAACTGGGCAATTATTTTCAACTGAAACTTTTTTCCAGCAAAAAATGAAGAGTCAGGTCAACTGACACATTTCACAGATTCATGTTGATTTTGGCAAATTGTGTTTGGTCCAAAAAACGTGAAGCATTTTGTTCTGATATTTTCAAAACGAAATGTTTTGACCTTTTGATTCAAAATGACTTTGCTTCAAAACTACCTTTAATTTTATTTTAATTTTTTTTTAAGAAGGGCGGAAGCTCAAAATGAATTTTTGTTTGGCTTTTCAGTTGTCCAAAAATTCAAAATAATTTGGGTTTTGGTTGACTGTAGACTTTTTTTTTCTGAATTTCTAGAAAACTAACAAATTCATTATACACACATCTGCAAATGCAAATAAATCCTCGCTAGGGTGTGGACTGGACGGATGGTTACAACTTTTGGTCACTGATATTCAGACCAGTGACTATCTACCTATCTTAGGAACTCACGTGGCCCTTGGTACTATAGTATCTAAGTACCTCACAATCTTTAATGTATTTATCCACACAACTCCCCTGTGAGATAAAAAAGTACTGTTATTGGGAACTGAGACACAGAGAGATTAAGGGCCAGATTTTTAAAGGTATTTAGGCAATTAAGTGCTTTTGACAATCCCGGTAGGCATCTATGTGCATCTTTAGGTGCCTAAATACCTTTAAAAATCTGGCCCTAACTCACATAGAGAGTCTGTAGCACAGCAGAGCATTGAACCCAAGTCTCCTAACTCTCAGGCTACTACCCCATCCACCGAACAACTCTTGACATGATCTGTGTGGCTTTTATTAGTGACTTACTGGTTTTGGAGCACCTTGAGAGCTCCCTGTAGAATAGATACTACCTTAAAACAACTGGTTAGTTTCATCAGGATTCCCTGGCTCAGCTGGCCTGTTGATGATACCCCTGCACTGGCAATTCCTTAGGTGGCATAGAGCATATGGAACAAATGCTACTTCTACCTACAGCTGGTCCAAACTTGGAAATTTTGACATTCCAAAACTTGTTGTGTTCTGAATTGGAACAAAACCAAAAAAATTCATACATTTTCCATGAACTGAAATTTTCAAAAAGATTTAATTTTGTGTTCCATTTTGATAAAATCGAAACATTTCATTCCAATGTCAATTTTTTATTTTATTGACTGTTCTATTATGATTTATAATACAAAATAAAATTTCTAAAGGAAAAGCATTTTGAAATGAAAAATTGAATGTCGAGCTCTGATAAGACTGAAACGCTTTGTTTCAATATTTTTAAACAATATTTGATGGAAATATCATGTTCCCACAAAAAGTTTTGATTTAGATGAAACAGCATTTTCTGATGGAAAAATGTTCTGTTGGAAATTTTTCAGCTCTACTCCAATCTCTAAAGGTTCCCTGGTATAGGGTATGGGACAAGGGGGCATAGTGGCATCATCCCTGCATCCACATGATCCCCAGCTGCCTTAA